GCTGCTTTGGGAATTGAGGAGATGAGGGGTCGACGGGGTCTGGAAAATAGGTTATTATTCTATCTGTTGAAAACACTGGTAAAACACAGGAAAAATGATGCTTTTAAAGTTGATTTCCCTAAAAATATATATTTTAGGTCTTGGATAATTCTATGTGTAAAATTTGCCTAGCTATAAATTTTGCGTTATTCTATTTGTTATTTTCAAATCAATGAAATTTTGAATATTTTATCTGCCTGTTACTTAATATATGTTTTGGTGAGATAGATGCAAACAAAAACTGTACAATTAGAAACCGCTGAACATGTGAATATGTGAAAAAAAAGGATGAACTGACATGAGGTGGATTTGTTGATCTGGGTCATACGTGAATTCTGTTCAAAATGCAATTAAAAAAGGTCCAAACTCAACAGATAGAATATTCCACTGGATCATCCCACACAAACAAACTAATCTTATGTCACAGTATGAGTGTGTTTGATGGTGTGCCAGCTCTGCTGGCTACCATCACTGATTGGAGTCTGGTTGTTGTGTTTCATGTGATGCTCAACTGAATTTGAATGGTTTCTTAGCTTTATATTAATTATATATACAACATAACATATATATATATATATTTCAAAATTGAATAAATTCATTGAATTTTTCTTCTAAAAACGATATATCTACGTATGATATATTGGTACTTTTGATTAGTTTCTTAGAATATCATGTTTATATATGTATATTTCAAGTTTGAAGAGTTCTTTAATTTTCTTTCAAAACATGTGTATACATATGATATAATGATATGTTTGCTTAGTTTTCTCAATATATATATATATCAAGTTTGAAGAGTTTTCTCGAGTTTTATCTTATAAAAACAATGTATTTGCATAGGATATGTTCATAATTTTGATGAATTTTCTTAAATTTCTATGTTAGGTATTCTATCTCTTGATTCCCCCCCTGCATGCGAAATCCAGATTCTATCTGTTGACCATATCATTTTTGGTATTCTATCTGCTGGATCCTTACTATATATATCCAACAAGTCAATGCAAGGTGGTGCCCCATAGTTAGCTAAATTGGTTTATAACTCCAACAACTAGGGTTTATCATGAATAGTGTGTGTATATTATATATATAGTTACTATGGTTTCTAAACGAACTTATGGGGGGGCAGCACTTTGCGGGATTTACGAACCAACAGCAGATATCACTGGGCACGAATCAGACTGGGTTCCCTTTGGGCAGCGCTTTGCTAAGTCCATATCAGTTTGGATTTGGTGCCAATTCTGCTGTTTCTCGGCCGATTTCGCTGGGCGTCAGGGCCTTGAAGTATGGACCTCGTAGAATTCATGGCTCTGAAAATGGCGGATGGAGCCGACAAATGTATAGGGCCTATTTATATATATATATAGGGATAGGGTTGATTGGCCAATGGATTGGGAGATTGATGCCAATAAGAATCATAACTGCTCAATAGCACTGTGTTGTTTTAACGAATCCAAGATCCATGACTTATCTCACCCTTTTACTCCAAAAAAAATAGTGGATGGCGCCAATTCCTGAATTTCGCCATCTATGGACCACCTGAACGAAGGGGATATTTGCGCCATCTAAGAGAAAGGGAAAGGAGGAGGGGAAGGGGAAAGGAGAAAGGAGAAAGGGGAAAGGGAAACAAGAAAGGGAGAGGGAGAGGGAAATGAGAAAGGGGAAAGGGGGAAGGGAAAGTGTGTTTGATTTTGCGTTAAATAGTTCTAATGAATTATTGGGCCCCACAGGGCTTTGAATATGGCTGCATCAGCTCCACCTGCAGCCCTGTGCAAAATGTGGTGAAAACCACCAGAAAAAGATAGCGATTTTACGTCAGGCTGCGCCATCTACCGTCGCTCCCTGATGGGCGCCATCTACTATGAGAATAGTGTCATGGTTTAATCCGATTATAACCTAGAACTGTCACCTGAAAAATATGAATCATGACTGCTCAATAACAATGTGCTGTTTTAGCAAATCCAAGATCCATGACTTATCCCACTTTTATTGGATTAACTTGATGATAACTTAGAAGTGCCAACCAGTTACGATGTTATTTTTCGATGATCTACAAGAAGGTGCCCCCCGGATTAAAGTTGGTTTGTAAACCACAGTAACTTTATAGTAAATATATATATATATAAATGTTATATATATATAAATATATCATAAACCCCGCTTGTTGTTGGAGTTATAAACTTAGCTAACACCATGGCCCATTTTGCGCTGCGTACCTCTCCAGATTAGTTCTCTCTCTCACCACTCGCCTCACTGGAAACGTAGTATGCGATGCTCCTGGGCTGGAGATGGGCGTTTTCTGCGGGGTGTGGTCAATTGGGTGATGAAAATGGAGTAGCTGAGTAGCTACAGTTAAAAGTTAAAATCAGTTAAAACCCTTCACCAGCTATAAATGCTTATGAATGGGATTATAACTAACCAAATAACTAACCATAAATGGGCTTATTTCACTGACATCCATAACTGGCACAACTCGGGCCATAAGTGCAACTGAAACAACTTGGCGGCGCTGAAGATGATTCGCTGGCAGATAAGCCACCCAGGCCCCGCCAAGGCCCCCATAAACCCAGTGTCTTTCCATAGAGCTGCTTGAAACACAATTGAAAAGGCTGCTTGTTTGCTACCTTTCCCATTTTTTTGCTACAGTCACCCCCACTAGATACCATTGTATACATATATATATATATATACAGTATATATATATGTATATATATATATATATGATCCCGGTCCCCGGTCCCGTAGCCACCCCCCCAATGGTATGGTCCCCTACTCCCTGACCTAGAATCTGTCATTTCCATGGTATTCACATAATTTACCATTGCCACCTTTTCTGTTTGAAGCACAGTTGAAGAGGGATACGGCGATCCGGCGAGCCGGGTACCCGATACGTTGAGGAGCGCTTTTGCAACCCCACTCATATCACCATTCAAAGCTATTAGATAGGATTCGAATAAGCTACGGGTAGTGCCTACGCCGGCTTTAGGAGTGGACTCCAACTGTATTCCCGGTGCATTCCCCACCCAAAGCCTGGAAAGCATTCCTTCCTGGCTGGCCCTACAGGAATACATTTGGAATACACCCTTTTCAGTCAAAACCAATGAAAACCTTGAAAAACAATGTTTTACAGAAATCCACATTCCAGTATTGTATTCCAGGTGTATTCCAAATGTATTCCAAGTGAATTCCAAATGTATTCCGGTATTCCAAGCGTATCCCTGTATTCCAAATGTATTCCAAGTGAATTCCAAATGTATTCCTGTATTCCAAGAAGTGTATTCCGAATGTATTCCTGCATTCCAAGTGTACTCCAAGTGTATTCCAAGTGTATTCCGAATGTATTCCTGTATTCCAAGTGTATTCCAAATGTGTTCCACATGTATTCCTGTATTCCAAGTGTATTCCATGTGTCTTCCTGTATTCCAAGTGTATTCCAAGGGTATTCCTGTATTCCACGTGTATCTTGGGGAGTATTCCTGAATCATCTTGGTGAGATTCCATTCCAGTGTTCCCAGGGACCCATGACCATGATGCCATGGCCTTCCAGCCAGTTTTCCATAGTTTTGCTAGCCTGAGCTCCTATGAAATCACCATGCAAGTGGAACACTGCACAAACCAACCCTATCCAGGAATACAAACATGAAATACACTTGGGATACAAAATAATTCATTTGTTGGCAATGTATGCCTGTGCTGATTGTTATAAGTATATATCATGTTTCCGTTTATTTCCCATTGACCAGTAATCCCATGTATTTCCGATTTTGGATCAACCATTGCATCATTTTTTTAATCGTGGTTTGATGGCAATTTGATGGCAAGTCTTGACGCCCAAATGGACCTAGAAAATATGTTTCCAATTTGTTGATGGCTTTAAGATCGTAATGTTCAGTCTCACTTTGTTGCCACAAACCCTGATGGTGGGTGGAATAAATGGCTCAGTGCAGCTTTCCGTCTTTGGCTGGAACATCCATTCATGGGATAAGTATGACATCAAACATATCAAAAGAATGAATTGCCAAATGCCAGGTGAACTTACCAGAAGCTGCATGGGACAATAAGTGAACCACACAGATGAGTTTCTGTATGTTGCTGTCAACACATCCACAACACAGAAGTTGGAGATCCAGAAACCGTGGATGTGGGCGATTCACACACACAGGAGCATCGAATGGGGTTGTTCAATATTAGGGGGATGAGATGAGTTTTTGGGGCCCCAAAAAACACAAGCCACATGACAATCTCGGAATGAGAAGAAATCCACCTCTTTCCTCTACGGCTCCGGACTGCAGTCATACTAGTTATAAACCCGAAATGACAACGGGCCATCGAAATTTGCGCATGCGCAGTGACATCAGCACACCATTGCAGAGCCTTGAGCCATCCTGAGATCTCAATATGGTTTTTGGTTTTAAATTCAGTAGCATCAACAGTTGATGTTTTTCCTCCGGTAATTCAACATAGATATGGAAGAAATGAACAAGTCGGAGCATCCACCATGTATGCATCAGTTCCTATGGAGACTATGGATTATTCAATTTAATATGGATGTTAATTTACTTGAGGCTAAATTCATCAAACATATTTGATCGGTCGGCCCTTCAAATTTCGACCCACAACCTGCTCAATGTCATTCCAGGATTATCCCCCAGTTTATTTTTTGTCAAGTGGTTCATTGCAATCGGCATAATTATACGTACTTTCCGGTAATCAAGCTTGGTAATGGAAGCTTTAATGGGACAATAATCGATAAACAGGGGGATTTTCCATTGCCATGTTTAATTACCGCAGGGCATTAAAGTAGATTGATAGATGGATACATGATAAGTCACAATGACACGAGCACTAATTTACTGGTTGAAATTCTCATCGTTGTTTGATGTTGTTCATTGTTCATGAATGAAAGGGTTTCCTAGCAGTCCTAGCAGCCTTTTTTCCGCTTAAACTTTGTGGCTGAGGTCTGTATGGCCATTGGCTGCACTCACATTCTGGCCTTCTACTTTTTGTGGCTCTTGGGGGAAGTCTCCCTGAAGGCAAGATCCTGAATGGGCTGGCTGGGTGGCTGGGTGGCTGGGTGGCTTGGTGGCTGGGTGGCTGGGTGGCTGGGTGGCTGGGTGGCTTGGTTCACTTCACGTTGGCCCAAGGTTTTTTGGGCTATGGCGGCTTGCCTAAGGTTCATTTTGCTCCATTGGTCAATGACGGAGAGAACTTCAGCTTCTTGATGGCTGCAGCCCAATTTCTCGATCATCAAAGCATCAAGATGGGTGTCTCTGAAGATGGTAGACTGGTAGACCTTCTAAATGGCCATTTAGTAGGGAAAATGTTGATGAACATTGGTTAACCATCAAATTTTGGGGTACCTTATTTTCAGAGAACCCCATGTCGTTGAACAGGCGAAAAGGGTATGATTTACTAATGTGTATACAGTGTATTTGGAGGTAGCCACCATGTTTTTGATCATTTTTGGACAAGCTCGTGCAGATTTTTGCCCGCATCCGAAATGTGTAGGGATTTTCCCCAAAGTTTACCACCCAACCATTAAGAGGTCTACCAAGAACAGGCTGACCTTAGCAGCCATCGGATAGCCATCGTTGCTGAAAAGGATGCAAGTTCTGACGACGGAAGGCTCCTCCAAGCTGATCCAACTCTCATCTTACCATAGAAATGGTGATGGCTATCCACAGATTCAGAACGGAAAGCTGGAACCAGTTTGAAGGTTCAACGGATCAATGGTTCAACTTATTTTGAAATATGAGCATGACCAAGCTATACATGGGGCCTTTTGGGTCTCAGGGATATTTTTTTTAATGAAACTATTTGGGCATTGGTCAATGTTATACATGGAGCCCGCTAGGTCCTAAGGTGACTACACACGTTCCCGTGGGACGTTGCTCTCTGAGAGCCACGCGCTTTGCGTACACAGGATATCTGCGAGTCATGGTTGCTGGAGATGCCTGTCGAAGACTGGAGAAACGAAGGAGCCGTTGTATCCGACCTGGATCTGCTCCCAATTTTGAAGCCTTGGTTCGATGAGCTGGGGCCGGGCCTGACGGAGGTGGACGCGGATTCCTTTCGAGATCAAGGGCTGTAAAATTTGTTACAGCTCGCACAAACGTTTGGGCTGTTGAGAGATGCAAAAAGAGCCGAGCTCTGCAGCATGAGGATATCTTGGATCTCCCGAAATGGATTCTTTGATACCTACAGTACAGCCACTAACTGTAGCCATTCTGGGACCTGCGCACTGAGATGTTGCCAGAATTCGCTAAGTGAGTAAGTGATTTGGACCCCCTCACAACTGGGATGTATGGTAGACTCAGTGCCATAAACCATCCCGTTAACCATCCACTAGGGCCTAGGGGGTCCTTTTAAATCATCCCAGAATCTAGTGGTTTTTCGTATGGCGTACCCAATTTCATAAACGCCGGAGATATACCCCGATTGTAAGTAGGTACAGGTACATCATCATCAACTCATTGGGTGTATGGCAGTGTTATTTGGTGATTTCATTACACAGTTCATGGCATTGGGTTTGCCTCATCAACTGGGATGTACTATTAAGATATGGCTGCTCTGAGTCAAAACCTTAAAACAGCAGGTGACAGGATGTTTATTTACCCCAAATCCCATTGAGTTGCCATAAATCAGCATGTGTGTTTGTTAAACCATGTTAAACCGATTGTCATACCCTCTGGTAAATTAAGATAGCTTTGGAAAATCACCAGCTTAGGTCAGTCAACTATTTCTATGGCCATGTTCAATAGGTTTGGAACATGTTTTTCTATATATTCGGAATAATAACCCCAACTGACGAACTCATATTTTTCAGAGGGGTAGGTATACCACCAACCAGATAGATTATCAGATAGCTATCGTTAGTCATGACCAGAGCGTAAGTAACTTGACCCATCCCCATCCATCGGTCGTTTTTTTCGCATGGGAGGTCTCCCGCTTTCGCATGGCTTGGCGATCGGCAAAGGCTCGGGTCCACTTTGCTCGGCAGGGGACGTCAGGCAGGGTGCAACGTCCGAAAGGACGGACGGGTACGGAAGGTTCGGGGAGACTCACCAAAAAGAGATGATACAGTGAAAGCCGTAAAGCTGGTGATTTTAATGGTACAGTAATAGGGTTTTCATTCCATTTCATGAGGTTATAACTGACTTAGACTGTAGGGGTCAGCAAAGAATTTTGAAGGCAAACATGAAATGTCAGCATGGAATTATGTCCGAACACAACATGGAGATCGATTGAAAACACCAAACTTGGGTTTCATTTCGAGATTCTGACCATTGCTGGAATCTCCCAACAGGGCCAGAAGCAATCAAGACCAGAAGTAAAAGGGTAAAACTGTTCTCGTTTGGAATGGACTGGTCGTGGCTGAACACTTTTCCAGATTGTATGACTTTATGAATAGAAACTATCGAGGCATATCCTAGGCTGTGTCTTTTTCCTACTAATGCGCATGGATTTGAGCCTTTTACCAGATTTTGGAGTGATGGATGAACATCCATCAGCAACAGTTTTTTTGATGTGAGAGGTACCAGGGTGATCAGGGTGTCAGTCTCATGGCAACGTGAGGTCTTCAGGAGACAGAGACGATTTGGGTCCCGCCCAATGGGACTCAGTTCGTGTCTCTGGACTCTGAAAGACGACGCTGGACGAAGGTCATGGCGTAGCGCCGTCATGGTTCCAGAGGTAGTTGTTTCGTTCTTTTTTCCGAAGTATTTTATACATATATATATATATATTATATATATTATATATATATATTATATTATACATATATTATATATATATTATATATATTGTATATTATATATAATATATATATATATTATATATATATATATGTTGTTATTAGTCCCTAACTATTTAGTTGGTTTTGCTTGGGTACTTCATGGTACTTTAATTTGTAGCTTCATCTTTTGCTATAAATGGGGCTATGAACGAATTGACCATGAATCTACATAGCCAAGTTGGGGCTCCTAGATAGCCAAGTTGCTTTATAATTCCAATCTATGGTTTATGAAACTTATAACATCTTATAACTATGGTTTTCAGGGATGTTAATGGTGTTTATAAACCAACAAACATAACTAGGGGCCCCACATTGTTTTTCGACCTTTTGCCGGATAAGATTGAGAATGACTGAGGGCGTGGTGCCTGGAATACATCTTCGAATGATCTTTAGTGGTTGATTGGATATCTCGCTATGATAATTATGATATTAGATTGTCAATTTGATAACTCCTGTTGATGATCTGAAAAAAAGACATTCCAAGAACTTCATGATATAGAATCCCGCAAGAAATTGTATTTTAATGGCCATGGTGTCGCGCAGCTTCTAGAGCTTAGTTGGATGCTTCCCAGCTGTGACGGCTGAGTCCAAGGATCTCTTTGTGTCCTCTGCTGCACCATTTTTCATTGGCTAGAGTCTTGGCCCTTCATTGGCAAGGGAAATGGCATGAGATGTATGTCTGTGTGCTTGATGCACAGTCACATACTTGTACCATCTTGTACCCAATCATGATGATCAATCATCATAATGATCAATAATCATAAGATGGGACTGATCAGGGGCTACGTGAACATTGAGCCATAGAGCACACGAAAAAAAGGTAGTATTTTGGATGCCTTGAACATCCCTAAATCCATCATTCGTGGGGATAGGTACCACTCAGCAGATGAAAACGAAGGGTGGCCACAGCTTCGGCTGGCTTTGGGTGATTTGGGCTTGAAAGCTCCACCATTTCGGGTGATCTCACTTTGAGTTCTCCTGAAGAGATATACAGTACTGCATGAGCTTCCCGTATGATGGAATCATCAATGCCAAATTGTGGTACTGCAGAAGTACCGTACCTGGGCGGTTGGCAGTTTCAACTGTTGTTTCGTTTCAACCATAGAAGTCGCATGATGATCATCAACCGACTTTCTTTCAGGCGTTTGATGTTTGTGCGTAGTAATGGTCTGTGTGCAAGACCCCAATTCACCAAGCAATATACATTTGATTGTTCCTTGCCAGTTCCGCAGCCAACTCTGCTCAGGAATACCTACTGCCTGTGTGCTTGGCGCTTGTAACTTTTGTTTGTGCCTTGGTGATGAATTTCAAGGCACTTTCCGGAAAACAGCTGGAAGAACACATATGTTTTGAATATATTAGGGGTAATCACCCTAGGGAAAACGAACATAGATATGAAAAAACATTGGTTTCTCTAAGAAATCATTTGCACATGGTGGTTTCTCCACATCAATGTTAGTTTAAAGGAGAGCATGAACCCATGGTTGAAGTCGTTGAAGTTGAAGTGTCTTAAACGGTCCCTGTCAGAGCCCCACCCAGAGACTCTGATGATGTGTTGGGTCAAGTCAGATGGCTTGTTTTGGGATGATCATGTTCATGAATGTTCATAATCATAGTGGGGCCCCCGTTTACGATAGCCATTTTTGGGGGCAAATGTTGGTAAATATTCCATACATAGAGCATATGGGATAGCTAAGTTGGTGCAAATAACTGCCACAACTATGGTTTATGATACCCATAACTGTAGTTAATGGGGTTTATAAACCAACATAAACCAACTTATAGCTGGGCCCCACATTGTAGGAGTTCATATATCCAGATGTCCATATGGGGAATCCCATTCATGATGATACAGGCATTTTTGTCGACGGAGATGGAAAATGCCACCCGAAACGGAGATGATAATCATGGTTCACCCCAAATTCGTAAAAAGGTCACTTTCTCTAGTAATCCAACATGGAAATGGCCACAATGGCCACAATGGCCACAATGGCCACAATCCATCATAAAAACAGAGGATTTTCCCATGTCAATGTCCATGTCTGGTGGATCCAGCAGCAAATCCCCGATTGGTTTAACCAGGGTTTCCCCCAAAAGATTCCCATAGGCTGGTGATTCTCATGGCTAATCCAAGCAAATCCCATGGTAATTCCCATGGTAAATCCCATGGTAAATCCAAATCTTGTTTGTTGAGCAAATCCCATGGTAATTCCCAGGGTTTCCCAAGTAATTACCATTTTTTCAAGCAAACTGGAATTTTTCCTCAGGTGGTCTGATGCTCGATCGTGGCTACTTAGCCGAAGTGGGTCCGCGTCTCAGGAGGATGATCCGAATGGAGTGGCGCCGAGGATGAGTGGTTCGGTATGGAATGCATGGTTTTGATGGAAAATATTTTAAAATTATAGGATTATAGTTGGTTAATATTGGATTTTTAATGGAGAACATATAGGATTATAGTTGGTTAATCATATTCCATCAAAAATATAAGATTATAGTTGGATATAGTGGTATGTTCATTATAAAAATGCCCCGTATTTTTTCCGATTGAATTTCAGAAATTGAAGTATTGTCTCAGCATATTGTATATAATTGTATATATAAACTTCAGAAAAAATTGGGACGATCGAAGTTCCAGCCGTGTCTCACATTGAATGCGACTGAGAACTTCACATTTTTCATGCTGCTTGGTGGTGACTGGAATCATGGAATGAATTCAATGACTTTCCAATTGGGAATGTCATCATCATCCCAACTGGCGAAGTCCATCATTTTTCCGAGGGGTAGGTATACCATGGTATACCACCAAACAGAATGTCATATACCACACACACTACATGTTTTGGTATGTCATATATGTAGTAATTCAAGCGCATGGGTTTGAAATGATTTGATCAATGAATTAACATCAAGACTTTTACATTGTCCAATGTGGTGAGACATAGTAACTAAGTACACTGTATAGCAGTCACCAAACAGATGCAGAAACGTTGAGAAAACTTGGAAATGACAGAGAACACATCGTCTACACTTGCGGGTGCAGTTGGTGGTTATTGATGGCTAAAAGGCAATGCCCATGGGATTTTAACTCTTGCTAGCTTGAATACAACCCCTATAATGTATATACATATATACAATGTACCTATACCCACTTATTGGTTGTGGAGTTTGTTAACTGGATAGTAAACCCTTATCACTGGGTATATAGCAGAATAACCTATTTACTAACTAGTCAACAGACTCCGCGGTCGGTCTAAGTATCTGACAACCAAAACTTAGTCATCGTAATCACTTTTGAACCCATAGTCATCCTAAATCACATATATATATATATATATACATATATACATACATGCTATAAACCATTATAAACATGTTTTCCTTGACGCTTCCACTCGTTGTTTTCCAAGCTCTGTTTTCGCGTTTGCTCGACACCTCGAAACGGTCGAGGTGCGGTTGCGGCCGCGTTGCTGTTCTTCGTGCCACGGCAGATGACTCCAACGAGGAATGGATCCCGGAAGTGGTATATTTTATGTGGTAAAGCCACTTCAATGGTACCAGTTGTGAACCATGTAAAGTTGTAAACCAAAAAATGTCCCACGTTTATAACCATGTATATTTGAAGCCCTAGAAACTAGAAACCAGTTATCAATATATGGTTAGACATGGGATGATCATACCATAAATGGTGTGACTTACTGACTTATAAGTGGTATTTTGGGCCGTAAGTGCAATGCCATAGTCAAATTCCCCAAGGCTGGGCGTTGCAGTTCGGGTTCGTGGGATATCAAAATATCGTAAAATGTAGCAAGAATCCACAAAAGTTGGGACATAAGCCGTGTTTTTCTGCACTCCATTAGAGGCTGTTCGGAATTTGGGTCGACGGGTTTCTTCGGTGAGATGACTTAAAATGACCCCCAGTCATGGCTGAACGGGATGGTCGTTACCTCAGCTGGTACAACCAGATGGAAAGTCAAAAGCAGACAGGGGGCTTGGAAAGATCGAATTCCCACGAAAATTGTCTGGTTGGTGGTTTGGAACATTATGTTGTTTTTTATCCATTCAGTTGGGAATTTCATCATCCCAACTGACTCATATGTTTCAGAAGGGTAGGTTGAAGCCACCAACCAGATTTCGTCATCCAAAAGATCGACAACTGAGGGAGTCCCAACGGTGCATCTCCATGAGTCGACCATGTTTTCCACTGGCTTTCCTATTGGATATCCAGGTTATTTGGCTATCCTTAGCTATCATGATCTATGCATCAGTCAAAAATCATCATTGCCGTTGAAAGCCAAATTGTGAACAGTTAAATCGACCATGTTTTCAGAATCAAATCACAATTTTTATTGGTCAAATCACCACTAGAATTGTTCAAATTACGAAGTTTGCTGGTCAAATTATATTTTTTCATGGTTAAACCCATTTGTATCCATTTGTTTCATGGTGAAATCACCAAAAATTGATCCCTCTTTTATCCACCTCTGGGACTGAGGTCATGCTTGGCACGCACGAGAGTTTAGAGATGCTTGGCCGCATCTGTGGTAAAAGGCACGCCAAAAACCATGATTTTCCCAGGCAACAAAAAGAACTAAATGTGTTTCATGATTGTTTTTTTCATTATATGTTTATGTATGGATATCATTGATTTAAGTTAGTTACATATACAATTTGATGAATTTGATTGTTGACCTCACCTCGAGTCGTCACTGGAATGATGGGAATTGGATTCGGAGAATCATCCCCAAACTGCTGCAAGTCTCAGCTATTTTGAGGTTCGTGAAATGTTGCAATTCAGCCAGGTACATGTATCATTTCTACATATTATTAAATGATGTCATATACTGTATGTGCAGTAGGGTATCATCCCAAGAAAATGATTATTTCCGCTTTGGGTTTTGGTGTGATGTGCCCAGGGTAATGTTTGACAGGAAACCCAAAAGAAGAATGGGATGGATTTGCGCTCCAGGCTCGTAATTTGAAGGGCAATGCATTTCAAGGATTTTCCATAATCAATACATGCACGCAACTAACAGTCATAGTTTAGATTTTAAATGCATTCGTTCACAGTCCAAATCGAAATACCAGAGTGTCATATAAGTTCATGTCCTGTCCTATTCCAACTCATCGCATAGTATAATTTTGTAATATTTTGTATCATATCATTTCATATGAGGTCATTTGATGGCATTTGATTCAACATACTGTGACTACAATGGTTGTTGAAGGCTTGTTTGTTTTCTATGTTACTGTTGACTTTCCAGGCTATTCTTGATGGTAAGTCATAAACAACTGCTTCAGCATCACCGGGGCATACCGGGGGAAGCCATGTTTCCCGTCATAGGCCATGGCGGATCTCGTCATCTCGTGTAGAGTTTTGGACAGAATGGATCATTTTTTTTCATGTTGGGATTTGTCCACCCAAATGAAAAGCAATGGTTAAATACTTGCATAGACCTCTTGATATACATAAAATGGGTAATTGTATATCAAGAGGTTGATTAACTCCATTTCTTACATGGTTAAATTTTCTCTCTCAATGTCCATTACTTACATATCTCCATAAGATTGAATCTCCATTTTCCATTGTGCAGAAATGAGTTGCAGAGTCAGTCCTCCCGGCTGCCGAGTCAATTGGGCGACCAGCAGCGCTGCACGCCGCCCTTCATCAAACATTGCTTTCGACATCCGGAGGTCCTGCAGTACTGGGGTGCCTTGGTTGAGACATGCTGTTGATTGTGATTCTCACGGGATTTAGACACAGTTGAACCATTAAAAAAAGGGTTTTAAGCAACAGAATAATGTTCTCCACGCTGGCAAGTTTCAAAGTAAAGCAAACTCAAAAAAGATAGACGAGGTTTCTATTGTTTTGTTTTGAATTTTATTTTACTGGACTCTGTCGAAATTTGTGGGTTACATTTTGGTCTGTCAAGCCTACTTTTCGCAGGGGCATCAAGCCTGGCACTGTTTGGATGATCAAGAAGCCTGCGATCGCTTATCCCATCTATTAAATGGGTCACAACTACCCTCTGGTAAACTAACATAGCTATTGAAAATCACCATTTATAGTTTTTTTACTCGTTTAAAATGATGATTTTCCATAGCTATGTTAAATAACCAGAGGGTATGGTTCCGAATCACTTGCGATTTGTGGGATGATCCTCCTATCATGTCCGATCTGCTGCTGGTCATCCCCATGATCTGATGCCAAATCCCTATGTTTCTGCGTTTGTCAAAGTGGCATTATGTGGGGCCGTGTGGGGTCAGAAAGTTCTTCTACATTCCAAGAACTTGACCAGGTCCAAGTTTAAATGTCTGATTGTGGCAATTCATCACTTCTGCTTGGGCATCACAGGAATCCCAGTCGTTGCTCTGGGCCTGTGGGCCTCCAAGATTGTTTCCTGTTGGTTGACATTAAGCTCACTAAATTAGGCTTCCCATGCTTTGTGGTAGATGTATAAACATCGTTTTTACAAGGTGGTGCCCGCCCCCCATTTATGTCTGTTGATTAAAAACACATCAACTATTGTAGTTTGAGAAATCTAAGTCATAAAATTCACCTAGGCAAATGGTCACCAACTTAACTATTACCGCTGAGGGCACCACCTTGTAGGCTTATCGCATAAACCAACAACCGTTCCGGCGGCGTCCACAGTAAGGCCCCCGAACAGAGTTTAAAGGATGTTATAAGTGATGTTTCCTCCATGATTCTCAGGTTTCCAACTGTTCTATCTTTTTTTGGTTGCGGTATAGTATGGTTTATGATAAATATATCGAAGATGATTGAGCGCTCTTGCATACTTAAACTCGGGCGAACATAAAGCAATAAATAGTTTGGTATGTATATATATATATACAATTATATACATACAGTATATACATATTGAATAATGATGTATATACTAAATCTAGAACTATAGCTTTTCTTATCTATATGAACAATAAATATTATCATATTTTTCTTACCGCTTGTATGGTAATATATTTGGTGCTTCATGAGATGATTTGGTGCCCCGGCTGTGGAGCTTCGAACTGCGCTGCTTCGCGCTCCAAGACCGAGGCGAACGCTGGTGTCGTTTGGGCTTCAACGCCCAGAAGCGGCAGAGGCGCCAGCAGAACCATCCTAGCAGAACCATGCTGTGATTTGATAATAACCAATCAACGTAGAAATAAGCTTCGGTGATATCCCCAATTAACAGCCGCAACGTTTTATTTTTACAAATCTTTCTGAGGCGTGCTGCGAAGCCAAGGGCTGAAAACACCTCAGCGTGCTCCAAAGCTTCCCAGACCTTCTTCGGAACCCTGTTGAACCTGACCTGGCTCTGCACCAAAGCCTCCCGGAACCTTCTCCGGAACCTTCTCCGGAACCCTGTTGAACCTAACCTGGCTCTGCACCAAAGCCTCCCAGACCTTCTCCGGAACCTTCTCCGGAACCCTGTTCAACCTGACCTGGCTCTGCACCAAAGCCTCCTTGGTTTTGCACCAAGGCTTCCTGGAACCTTCTCCGGAACCTTCTCCGGAACCTGTTGAACCTGACCAGGCTCTGCACCAAAGCCTCCCAGACCTTCTCCGGAACCTGGCTCTGCACCAAAGCATCCCAGACCTTCTCGGGAACCTTCGGAACCTTCTCCCGGACCTCGTTGAACCTGACCCGGCGCCTGCACCAGCGCACACCGGAGCTGTTCTGGGCTGAAGAGCCCATTAGCTTTCGCTGTTGGGGTAAAAACGCAAAAACATCATCAACCATCATTGATTTGTTCAGTTGTATCCACTTATTATATAAGGATGTGTCAAGTTACCTATGAATTACCATCTTTGGATATATTTGGGGGAATAACCGTCCATCACGCAGTGAAGCAGCTATTTTAGGGTACCGTTTCATTACTAGGGTATGTAGGGTTTTGACTCATAGCCATATTGGAATTGAATTTGAATATTCTTGGAAATGTTTTTCCGTCTTAGCAGCAAGGCTAAGCGTAAATAAACTTTCAAGGCGGAGTCTTGTAAACACCAATGAAGGTGATTTTCGTCCGAATCCGTGAAAAGGATTTTTTTGGTTAATCATTTTTTTGAAAAATAACTTTTTCCGAAGTCATCTGAAGCAGGGGTCTCAAAACCAAATTCCTTGAAGCACTTTCTCCCATCAACGTGTGCATTTTTTCTCACCCCATCACTTAAAACCCGCTCACTTAAATGCAACCTTTTTGTAATGGAACCCTGAGAAAATTCAAACATGTTTGATGTCTTTATAAATGCCGCCAAGCGGGGCGCTAAAATAGGTAGAGTATCCACCAAAAAGATTCAAACAATGTTTGAATTGCCTTCCTATTTCACAACGTGGTGCCCCAAAACCCTAGCTAAGTTGGTATTTCACTATGCGAACTCCTGGGTTTAAGGTGATGTTGGTTATCTATATTAGCGATTGGTAAGAAACCAACAAACAATACTGGGAGTCAGCGTTTGCACCTTTTGCAACTTATGTTTGTTGGTTGATGTTCACGCCAGAAAAATAGTTCGATATATCCAGTTTTTCAGCCATAGTGAAATTGGAGTTATTGGCACCAACTTAGTTTGTAGATTTTTTAATTAACTCTAAATAATATGTATTTGTTTATTAGCCTTTGCTATTGCGGTGGAGAACCCTATAAATCGTAGTTGTCTGGAGAATGTTAAGTTTCCATAGATACATAGAACCATAGTTGTTATATTTGAGCTGTGGTTTGATCAATTATATTATAAATCCGCCATAGTTTACAGTGACCATGTTTAACTATAGGTATAACAAGTTTTGTTGTTCCAATAATCCTTCAGTTAAAGCCCTAAAGCCAGTTGTTTTTTGTGGTTATGAATGGGGTGATCATTCCATAAATGGGGTGACTTACTGGCATTCATAGCTGGCATTTCGTGCCATAACTGCAAGGTGGTGCATTCCCAGTGAAATATTGGTTTATAAACTTCATGAATAGTACAGGTGTAATATCCCCTATAAACCAGAATCGTTGGATGGAAACACAACCTATAAACCCATTTTTTATGCTTATAAGTGTGCTTCTCGAAATCCATTAAAGACATCCATATGCATAGCTATGATCCATGAACTGGTTGGTGGTTTGGAACATGTTTTATTTTCCCATATATTGGGAATAATAATCCCAACTGGCGAACTCATATTTTGCAGAGGGGTAGGTATACCACCAACCAGATTACTATTAACCATCATTAACCATATAATGACCATATATTGACCATTATTAACAGTATACTAACCACACATTAACCACATATAATAACCAGTTATTTTTAGGTACATTGGGGTAACAAGTTTCCGGCAACCTCGGCAGGTATCCCTTCGCCATTGTGGTCGGTCTCACCGCCCTGGTACGCCCAGCTTTCTCACGGGGTCTCACGGGGAGATCAGAAACCATCCAAAAACCATCTTTCTAGAATTATTATGAATTATTCATATACTTAATATATTTCAACCATAATTACATGTATGATATATATATATGTTATACATCATTATGTGCATGATTAATGATTTTATTGTATATATAAAGGCGTCTTGGCGTGTGTCTCAACAGGCCCTTTGTGCTGGTGAAATCCCAAGACAACCAGACAAATCTTCATCGCTGCGTCCAACGATGGTCGTGAAGAACCCGAATCCGTAACATAAAAAGATACTTAAATGGTGGTTAAAACATATTAATGTGGTTAACATATCAATGTGGTTATTATTAACGATACTTAATCTGTAACATACATATTAATGTGGTTAAAACAAGAATAAACACCCCACTTTTGATGGTCTATACCACCCATAAAAATGGTGATGACTGGGGGATGGCTTATTATTGTTTTAACCACATTATATACTTTAGGTGGTTTTCCACTGTTTCTGTCTGGTGGTTCGATCCCTCTCATCTTTCATCTGGTCCGCGTAGTTATCCTAGCATTTCTAGCGCTAAAACTAGATATATTCCAAGCTTCTTTGATCTTATCTACTTAGATATCCACATAAATATTTACAATCATATAGAACCTTAAAACCATATATATATATGTGTGTATTCAAGATTACCTAGATAGCCATGATAAATCACAGATATCCCTAATTACAATTGTTACTCTCTGGTAATGACTAACAGTTCGCGAACTTGAACATGGCCATCCAGTTCGTTGATTTACCCATAAAAGATGGTGATGGGACATGGCCTTTTGTATCATATCCGCATTATCCCCATATGTTTCTGGTTGAAACATTATAGTCTCCCATGTTTATCAGCTATAAATCCCATTCAATACCCATGTTTGACCCTAAACCCATGTTTGTTGCTGAAATCACAACTTTCCCATGGTTTTTCCTATGGTGTTCACCATGTTTTCACCATTTTCCTATGGGTTTTCCTGGTGTTTTAACCATTTTCCTACGTTTTTCCTAGAGTTTTCCGCTTGAGTCACCGCCGTTGGGTCCGGTGTTTTCTAAACGATTTAGGTCTTCGGGTCCTTCCGCTTGATGTCCCTGACCTACGCGTGTCAGCCGCGACAGCACTGGGAGATTCTAATGTTTCAACCATTCTCACGGGGAGATGCAGCAAATATATTTATATCCATTGATATCCCATAGGATCCATGGTGCTGGTATATTAGTGCTAACATTGGGGGTATATTGATGGGATCCATGTTCCCATATATAGTAGCACCATGGATCCTATGGGCATCCATAAATGGTCGATTTGCCATACATATATATATATATTTATATTTATATTGCAACCCCGAAGAAGATGCAGCAAAGTCAAGGTGTATCTTAAAGTGGGACAGATCATCCTTAAAAATGCGAGAATTATAGAACTAAATGCTTGATTCTCCATTGCCAAGATTTGGTGATGTGGAAGGATATACACATATAATATATACGCAACCCCCAAGCAGATGCAGCAAAGTTAAGGAAACCTGGACACTAGCGGGAAACATTATCGAACCAACATTCTGGAAACATGTTTCTATCTTTCCAGGGGTTGCAATAGATCCAAACATCACCTGCATCAATGGATAGAAATGGAACTCAATTCCGGATTTGTAATCAACCCTAACTTTTACTGGATCATCCAAGTGTTTTGTTGACCAACTTGAAAAAATCCCTCTATTTTTGCGAATTCCATATTGACGCCTTTGATTATCCCCAAAGTATCCATTAATCCTACCATCGGACAATCCAAGTCAAAATGTGACCAGGTTGACTAAGTTCACCAAGTTGACTAAATGCACTAAGTTCATGAAGTTCTCTAAGTTCCCTCAAGTTCTTCCATCCAGGTATGTGTATGATGCTCTACGTGTGCTTACGCCTTCTCTGGATGCGAGTCGAGGGTTATGGCGGCTGGTTCTATGCCTTCCTGGTGCGAGTTTTCCGGGGCCGCTAGGGGTGGGGGTGCTTGGGGTTCCGATATTTCTGTTTATTTCCTGCATGAAAAATTCAAATCGTATATTATATATATGTATTTACAATAAACATGACTGCATTTTCAGTCAAACCCACAATATATATATATATAAATACATATATATATATTCATATTTTAAAATATGTATATATATAATTATAAATATATATATATATATGTATATACACATTTTTAAATATATATATATATACATATGTGTATATATATATATATGTGTGTGTATGTATACATATATATCCCGCCGGACGGATCACCGGCCCATGATTTCAGGAAAATGATGTTTTCGCCATAGCGGCGTGCATGTTTCATGTTCAAAATGACCATGACAAAAAATCACTGAATTCAGATGGCTTGTTAACCCGTACAGGGTTTTGTGTTCAAAAAGGATGCGAATTGAAATCACGCCTTTTTCACAGCATTAAGAGCTGACGTCCAGTCTTTGAGAGGAGCTGGCATGTTCCCATCTCCCAGCGCCACTGTTGAATTTTAATGTACTTCCACAGCTTTGGGTTTGGCTTTCCTGCGCAGTGGCTGCTTCATCAAAGTCCAGTAGGCATCCAAGGTTCCAGTGTGAACCCGGATGTGACCACGTCCTTTGACGTATCTCCACACACTGAAGACATCTTTGCTATGGTTGCACTGTCGCAGCAACACTTTGTGTTGCTTGCACATCCCTTGTAGCAACGTAAGTAGAAGTGGCGTAGCACTTCAGTGACGAAGCAATTGATTGCAACGTACGTTTTTACCCCACCCCAACCCCACCCAACCCATCCACAAAACGTGGGCCGGTAAACGGTCCGCTAGCATATATGTATATCTATATATATATATATATGTATATATATGTATATGTATATATATATATATATATGTATATATATATATGTATATATGTATATGTAAATATAAATGTATATATATATACATATATAAATACATATATATTTACATATATATATATACATACATGTATGTAAATATGTATATGTATATATATATATGTATATATATATGTGTGTGTATGGGTTTATATTTGTGTATATGTAAATGTATATATATATATGTATAAGTAAGTATATATATAATTATATATATATTTTTATTTATATATGTATGTATATATATATGTATGTGTAAATTTATTTCTACAGATGTATATATGTATGTAGGTATGTATGTGATGTAATGTAATGTAATGTCATGTCATGTACTGTACTGTACTGTACTGTAATGTAATGTAATGTAATGGTATGTATGTATGTATGTATGTATGTATGTATGTATGTATATATACACATGTATTTTTGTTTGTATGTGTGTATGTATTACTAAATGTACATGACTATGGTACAAGTACAAAACCATATCAATAAGCATTGGCATAGGCATAAGTATATAGATGTAAACATAAGTTTCATGAGTACATTTATGTACGTGTCTATTCAACAATCTTTCGTATCATCTTTATGGGGTTCATCAGGTGGAGTTTTAGGAGATGAACTGTCCGAAAATGGAGAAGGCCCTCAAACCTGTGACAGTTTTTTTCAGGGCGCGGATGATGAACGTAAAGCAATAATGAAATACTGACCCTCTGGTTATTTAACATAGCCATGGAAAATCCCTTATAAATGGAGGTTTCTAGCTGGGAAAATCGTCTATAAATGGGCCATTTTCCATGGCTATGTTAAATAACCAGAGGGTAAATACATTATGTTTATGGTTTATAGTTCCCATTTGGAGATGGTAATTTGGGGATGGTAAAACCTATTGCTGCTTGAACGATGTTCACAACCTCTGTTGGTTGATGATTGTAGGGGATGGTACTAACCAAACTATATGATCATCATAATCCATGTTGGGAATCGCAAGTTTTGAACACTGCTCACATTTGTTCGGGTTGTACCAACTGAGCAATACTTTTCCTGGCACATTGACATTAGCCGTTGCTACAGCTGTCGATGTTCGCAGGAATCTTTTGTCGAAATCATTCTGCTGAACATCATCATCATGATGAGCCATGGCGTACTGCTGGGACTAGCGTAGAATCCATGCAAACCTGGTACTCGTAGGTGTTTCTGTCCGGTTTCTTCTAGGTTCCTTCATTCGCAATAGTGTAGATTCCCATTATCCATGGCATTGTCAGCTGGTTGTAGTGTCGTAATGCTACTTTCCACATTTGGCAAGAGTTAAATGGGTCACCAAAGAATTATGAATCATCGTTCGCGTGTCCATGTTTTTTCTCCGGTCTCTTACATGTTCTGCAGGGCGATTCATGGCAGCATTGTATACCTAAGATGAGTTCCGTCATGGCAAGATCATGATGTTTCTTTTTCCACCCCCGTTTTTGTTGATAAACTTGGCCCCTTGGTATCTGAACAGTTTCAAGAACCCCAGTTGGTTCATGATTGTTACGGAAATCGATGACCCAAATAGAAGTTATCATCCAGCATCAAAATCCCAATGAAGCCGGCCATATTTTTGTTGTTTTCCAAAAAGTGATTAAGCATCATTCATTGAGTATGACAGCACGATTTCGATTCTTAAACCATGTTAAACATCCTCATGTTCTCCATGTTTTTTGCTTGAACCTACCATGTTGATACCGTTTATGCTGTATGTCCCAAGCTTAGCCAGGTACATCTGGGGTCTCGGAAGTTGCAGCCTGCCTTCAAAACATCACCAAGGACCTCTCGAAATCCTCTGCGTGACGGTGCTGTAGTTCTCATCTTGGCGGTCACTGGTCAGTTTGGTGGTGTTTGAACATGGAGTACACCCCAGAAATGGCCAATGTGTCTACAGCTATGGCCCTGGCCCAACAGTTATCAATGGGATGAGTTATAGCTCCTAAAACTAGTTGGTTATATATCATGAAATAATCCCAGTTATATATATATATAACCGTTAAGGGCCACAACTGTAGGAAATATATGGAACTATGACAAATAACCCAGGTCATGGGACACTAAATGGCTTTGCCGGAAAATAGGTTGCACCTGAATCAGTTGGCTAATCATCAATTTCCCCCAGTTAGAAAATTTTCAGCTTACGGGTAGACCCCATTTTCATAGAAAAGTGAGCCCACAATTTGGAGCACCTTCGAAGGGTATGTTGGTCCATATGTCTAATGACTATAGGATTCATGTTGGAAATGTCATGAAATGTCTAACGGTTTGGATGAGTTTATCAACATTTATAAACCAATTTGCAATTCGGGGGCCCAGGGTGTAGAGCTAGGTCAGCCCAGATTAACACGGAGAAATGATGCTGGTGATGGTGGGTTTATGCCATAAACATGGAGATTTGGGAAACAAAATCGTGGAAGTTCACGATGAGCTGAAAGGCCAATGCCGTGCTGAAGCCGGGAAAGCCTCTTCTAGACATAGTGGAAGTTGGAGGAGTTAAAGAACAACCAATCAGCGCTAAGCGCGAGGAGCATTGAAGAGTATGAACATGCCTTGCACATCCTTGCACATTTGGAATTCAGTAGTAACCCATAGTAAGCCGCGGGTATCAAACAAATTTGATATGATGATTTTAGAATCGGATTGTGCTTTTCTTTTTTGCTTGGAGGCGGGGCGGTGCCACAAAATCATCATGATCCATGGTGTTTCGTGTCTATCAGTCATACTTCTGGAATCGGAAATACCTTGACCTAGTTTCAGTGAATACGTCGACTGCGAGATATCCTATCCGATACCATCGTATTTGATCCATTCAACAAGCCAAAAAGCAGATATTTACCTCAATATGCTATAGAGATCACCTCCTGAATTTCTCAGCGAACACCTACGTCGATATACGACTTTGATATCCCACAGGAATTGAGTGTCGACCGGTATTTTTCCAGCCTGTCCACTAGGTGATGCGACAGTCCCTCTGCGAGAAATGCTGGCAGCTGGAGTGATGGGCAGATCATGAATCTGAGCCATAGGGGCTGTAAAAGGATGGTGAAGATAGGTGAAATCAAATATGGCGGTTTTTTGGGACATCCCTTGAACTATCCACGTAGGTTTGTTTGGAGATTTATAGCTGGGGAACGGAGGATTCTCCAACACGCCATGGAGGATTAGATCAACCTAAGGCCACAAAGAAGCTACCGTATCAGGTTTGTGTCTCATTCTTGAGATCCTGGTGTTCTCTGTTGATTTTTTCAAGAATGGCTATATAGCCCGTTAATCATCCTTCATGTGTTTTTTGGCAATAGTACTTTAGTTTTAGACCAGCTATTGAGCACCAGTAAGTGTTTCAAGGAACAAATCAATCTGGATATGCCCAATCAGTTTGTGTTCAAGATCCAGGGGTGGGAATCTTTGCCAGACCCAAAATTGAACCACTTGAAGCTGCCAGACATGTGAATCTGAAGCGTTGGTTGTTTTAAATGAATGTTCTCCACCTCCTACCCGATGAGTTGTCCTGGAAATCTCCCAAAAAAACGTTGGATTACTTGTAGCGCTGGACCAGCTGGATCACATTGTTTTGGGGACTCGGCTGGAAGTAGCTTCATTGGTCTTTCTATAGGTTAATATCCAGCCATAACACGCGCATTTTAAGCTGCACCACGGACCTGAGGCTACGCCCATGTCCTGCACTGACCATGACAAATCTCATTGCAGGGTATGGCTGAGGATACATAGCCAACCTCTGGAAACCTATTGAAAGCCTATTTACACAGTTATTGCCATTTATCAGTTATAACTTGTAACATGTTATAAGTTATAACTTGTTATTTCTATTGCATTATACATTCTAGAATGTGTTTATATATACGTAAGTATACTTATAACTGGTATTTCGGGCCATAGCAAGATATTCATTGAAAAATCATGTTCTCTAGGTCAATCTTAGATGATCTTAGATGGGTATTTTAATCCCTTAGTCTTTTGGTATCGGACTATCTACTAACCAGCTAAGAATTTATTTTTTTGCAGGGTATCTACGATTGGCACTGTCTAAGTTACGGGATCTTGCCCCGGTGGCTGGTTGTGCCAAAGGTTCGGCTTCCAGCGTGAGATCAATTCCGGCGAGCGCGTGCGACTGGTGACTGGGCGTGGCTGGTTTTGACCCCTTTTCAGCGAGGAATTACTATACCATGGTATCATATGGTATCTCTTACATATTGAATTAGTATAAATACTATGAATATTATACATACCATTGTATCTCTTACATAATCATGTATTTATCATTATAATACATAGATATTTTTCATGTATGTGACTATAATCCCATTAATTATATTTGTTTGTATGCGAATTTTCATTGGTCCAAGGCGAGTATGATCACCTTGGGCCTTGTACAGGACACTTGGCATTGGTGAAGGGCAAGGGGTTGACCAACATACCTGGGAAAGCTCATCGTTTCATCATCGAATGGTCAGAGAAATGGGTAGTACCACAATATATATATATATATACGCCATGTGTTCAACCATATATTTTCATCATTTAATGCAATTGAGTTCTGAGTTCATGTATTTTCATCATTTGTCCATCAAACATGTGGGCGATACTGGCGTGGTTACTTTTACCTGCAATGGATACTGTGCAAGTAAACCGCCCCCGTTAGTTGGAATGTTCTGATTGGTTTTGCCACAGTAGTTGCTAGGTACAATCATTTCATCTCTGCCCACACTAGATTTTAACCTTCAATTGGTATGCACCCTCTGGTATTTTAACAGTTTATTGTGAAAGTCACCCACTTTTCTGGTTCGGTGATGGCACTGAAAACGACCCATGCTGGGAAAGGCAGTTCTGGGAGAAAGTAGCAGAGGGTCAATCATCGCTCACTAAAGTTTGCATACCAAACTGTTCAACAAATCCCAGAGAGGTTTTTCTTTAAAGAAAAACACGTCGATGCTTGGTGATTTTCCCATCAAAGCGGATGGCTATCCCCCCATCGATAGCGCTTAATTTGACTTGTTGTAAGGAAACCCCAAATGATGCTGGGATGACCACACCCCACATACAATGTTTTGACAGTGGCAAATACCAGGACTGGTTATCTGATTGTGACGAGCATGGGCAATGATGATCAGTAATGTGTCATGAAAACAACATCCAGCATAGTTGCGACATGGGATTGTTGTAAACCCATGCTCAATCAACCGTATCAATCATTATCAATCAAATTCTCATATTTTATCCATGGTTTCGAAACTCGGGAGAGTGCAGCGTAGCCTGAAACAAAGTTGCATAGCAGGATGAAACTTCTTCCATGTGCCAATTTGATTCCTCTAAAACGAACAGGGAATTTGCCTTCTCACTAGGAAAGTCTGGGGTGCTTGCAGGCCAATATTTGACATGGAAACTCTTGCGAGAAAAGACTTTTCTAGCATGGCATTCAAAGATATCCATTTTCACTAGGATATACTAGGATCTTTTTCCCTTTGCACCTAGTTTGCACAACTGTGGCACTGTCCCTCCAGCTACATCTGGGCGACTCTGGCACCCCAAGCTCAGGTGATGTTGCTCGGTCTCGTTCCGCGCTTAGCACTGTGCGGTTCTGCGGGAGAACTGCTGGCGGTCTATCAGGACAACCCAAAAGGGTGGAATGAAGTGTCATTTCTTGAAGTGCTACTGCCATTTTAGAGAATTTCAGATACAAGCATGGAATGTTCAGAATGGAACTGAATGGTTCATGATCCCCTTTTTAGTGTTGTGTTTGACCTGAAATCTGTGGGTCTGGGGTCACCAACTAACTAAAAACCCACAGATTTCTTGGAGTGGGACCCAAACTGAAGCGGTTCATCCGAAAATGTGGGTTTGACTGAAAATCACAGATGTCCCCAAGTTGCAAATTTGGAGCGTGATATTTTCTGAAATTGTTTGATAACAAATAGTTGACCAAGCATTTCCAAAATTTGAGACAACACCCCTTTTTTGAATGGTGCGAAGATACTGAGGACTGCACTAGATGTAAGCCTCTCCAAGTCTTCGTCCGCAGCCGAAAAGCAAGGTTTGCTTCGCACTGTCCAGTGTTTCGGATGACAACTGGAGCGCGTTTCTTGGCACTGGGGGGTTGGCAGACTTCGAATAGCAACGATGGTTTGTGTCGTTGAAATATGACTACTAAGTAATAAAGAGTAGCTTAAGTGGATCCCTTTTTTACCCTCGATGTGGTTACAGTACACACGAAGGACCATATGATCCTGATGTTTGGTTTTCAATGTGTTTGCAAGTCATTGGTAAGCACATCCTCGTAAACAGCTGTGAAATCATGCATGTTGTTTGTAATTGTGTAATGGCATCTGAGATCTATCGTCATCACTATATTGTTTGTAATGGCATCTGAGAGCTATAGTCATCACTATTATACTATATTCTTGGATGTGGTTTGTGACCACCAAAAACACGGTATGCTAGTCCCATCAAGGCATAGGAATCATGGAAAGCAGGTGATGTGGCGCTTGTCATGACCATTGCCATCGCGATTCAAGAAACGACGTTCTCACCATAATAGGTTAACTATTCAAGCAGAAGTTAGTCCACGCTATAGGTTTTCATCCAAATCTGCTGGACGCGTTGGTAGAATTGCTGGTAGATCGAATTAGATGGATGTGTTTCGTACGTCCAGTTCGGAAGTTGCCATCTTTTTCCCAATGGATGTATCACTATATTATATATAGTATATCATATCCATGTATATCCTATATAGTATATCCAGTTTGAAATATGAATGCTTCCCCCAGGTATCACTGTAGATGTTGCTTCAACAAAAATCCAGGCTGTGGAGATGTGTTGTCTGGGATCGCGAGCCGCGAGCCCTTGCAGATACCTAAACTAGATGGGTAGTTTTCCATATCAAGCCATATTATGAGGCTGTCCCCATCTGTAGACCTTATGTAGGCAACATTGAATGTACCGAGTCATTCCTTGTCAAACCTTGTCAACAAAGAACACGACCCTTCAATCTCCAAATCGAGCCGACAAGTGGATGGCCAAAGCAAGGAGAGCAAACTGGGTTTGTTCGATGACTCCAGCACAATGCCGAAGAGATTTAACTGAGAGTCCGTTAACATTCCCCAAGGTCACTACGTGCCTATGGAGATGCAGTTGTGCGTCATCTGTATCTTGTTAATGAGAATGAGCTGGCAGGTGAGTGTGGGCCTCTTAGGGTTCCTTCGACGTTGAAACAAGTGCCGGAAATAGCCGGTTGCGCAACGTACATTTCTCTGAAGCCTCCACGAAGGCGACCAAGAGCCGCTGAGGTTGAGAGTCAGCAAAGTTTTGATGAGGCTGAATCAACATTCAGAGATTCTGTACCTTCTCGTGATACCCTCGCGCAGAGCAGGGTATCTTGAGATACTGGCGAGAAGCGATGATATTTGGGTATGCACCAGGATACAGGCCTCACTTCATAGCCCTTGTTTTGGCAGCGTATAGATTTGTGAGTTGTTCACCCTTACCAACAATAGTTGCTTTAAAAAATATGGCTTTCTAAAGTAAATGGAACAGCTTTACCCAAAGAAAGGTGGATGAAGGGTTTTGTGTTTTTTCACCCCAAAAGTTTGTGTGCACAATAGGGTACCATCCAAACAAGTATATTATTGAGGACCTGCTTCATTCATGAGGTACCCCCTTGAAAAATTGTTGGCTGCTGTTTTCTTAATAAAGGTTCAATAAGGCATGTAATTATTGGGGAACCTTGCATTTTGATGATTTACAAATGCATATGCCTTTCAAGGGTAAATGGACCGGCTTTACCCAAAGAAAGGTGGATAAAGGGTTTTGTTTTTTGACCCCCAAAAGTTTGTACCCAGTATGCACAATAAGGTAACATCAAAACAGTTAGTTATATTATTGAGGATCTGGGCCATTCATGGGGTACCCCCTTGAAAAATTATGTGGCTGCTGTTAATTAATAAGGGTTTAATAAGGCATCTAATTCTTTGGAAATCCTTGCGTTTTCAAGGCTTTAACATGGATATGTTTTTAAAGTGAATGGACCAGCTTTACCCAAAGAAATGTGTATAAAGGTGGATAGAGCTCCTCCTGCAAAAATTGGATCTGAGAAAACACTCTCACAATAGAGGCCTACCCCCCACAACTGGCAGGATACTGATTTATTTTGAAAGAAAACTCACAATAGGGTACCAGGACACTAATCGGCGTCCAACATTAATGTATATTCACATGTCATTGATATATATATATATATAATATGTGTAATATTCATTTATATTCACAGGATGATTTAAACATGTGTTTTTTTAACCCCCAATTGTCGGCCGTTAAAGGTCATCAGGTCACCTTCCAGCGATAGGTTCGGAGAGTACATGGGCTCCACAAAATTCTACGAGATCCCACGTGAACTCCCAAGCCGTGGTGGTGTGTGTCGCTGGCAGGGGGAAGCAATTAATCTTAAAAATTGTGATTAATGGCTATAAATACGGTATAAAGTGGTTATTACTTGATGGTTATTAAATATTAATCAAAAAAATGGTGATTAATGGCTATTACTCCTCCATGCTTGGAGCTGCGGTTGAGGTGACTTAAATGGGTAGAAACATGGTGAAATATCCCCATATGTGGTATATAAGCCCTATAACTATGCCCTGACCATATCCACTTATAACTGCTGGAACTACGTTTCCAGCTGGGGCAACTCAAATCCAGAATGCGGTGCCCCCAAACCCATAAAGTAGTTCGATATTCATAAACACAAATCTTTGCTCCAACCCATAGATGAATGATCGCCTCACTAGGGGGTCAATTAGTTCTGCTACATTAGTTTACCTTTATATTTATCCAATTTAATACCCTTGTTGTACTTATAAGTTGACCTGGCGAGAACTGGGTCACGACTTTGATAGTTGGGGTTGCGGAGTATGTGAGGTGACGGGTGAATGGTGTGAATGTTGCAGTAGCTTCACGGATTAATCTGCGTTTTGATCAAGGCATGGTTTGTATTCTGCTGAATGCTAACTTTTCTCCCAGGGTATCTGTGAAAGATTACTGCCATGGCCGAGGGTCGAGACTAGAGACTGGGACTTGGGAGAGTTTCCGGTTGGACGTCATCTAAATCTGCCAACATGTTTTGAAAGCGAGAATTGGAGTATTCTTGTGTGACATCAACATCACCAACTTGAATCACTTGAACATGATCTACGACCTACGTTCAGTGACCCCACCAACTTCACTGGGTGTTTCACTGAAACGATTCAAGTTTGGGCCCAACATGGATTGAGACAAAGTCATGAGGCTATTTTGGTTGCAATCCTTTCCACTTATCTGAAATGCCCAGTCCATCCAGACTGTTTCATTGGTCTCAAAGTAGTCAGCCATACCATGTCATATGATGCAAGAGGAAAGAGGCCATTGGATGTTGCTCCCTTTGTTTCAGCCTGAGTAATTTGGTTTTGAATGAGGAGGTGTTCAGCAAGGAAAGGTTATGGGAGATCATGGTATCTCAAACTCTCAAAGCTATGCTTTCCTCGGGTACTTCCACTGAAAACCGCACCAAAGTTCATGGTGAATAGTCACTACAGTAGCTGTCTCTGGCTCGAGTTTAGATCAGTTGGATCATTGAAGACACATGAAGACACCATCTAGAGCAATTCTTGAAATGACAATATGTTTGGATATTTTTGGCTATACCATTTTTTGGACGAACTGATATGTCCTTAGCCATGATGTGTCCATTTTTTCTCAGGTGCCAGTCTTGGAACAGTCCCTTAAGGTATGGCGTGGCTCGCGTATGGGAAACCGCGGTTGACGTTTTTCCTCCATGATATGTAGCTACTATTCTGTTTGAATTTAAATAGTCAAACTTGTCAAACTGATGGATTACATTTGTACATATATCAACATGATATAATTAATGTTTGGTTAGCTATATTACTATTTATACAGTAGATCTGAGAGATAAATTGTCGAACCATGGTAAACCTACCTTCTGTAGAGGGCGTCCAAAATCATACATGGAACTTCCATTAAAGATGTCTATAATTTACCGGCAAAAAAGATCTGGAAGCAAGCATCTTTTCTACAAAACAGTTGGAGGGAATGATTTGGTACGAGGTTTTGCTTCTACAAAATAGAGAACATGTATTCTGAGTGAATTATAGCAACCTCATAGTAGATGATGGTGAATTGTGAAAGTTTCACAAACTGGGCGAACCTTTCTGATTCTGGAAGTATATAGATTACATACGTTGTCCAGACGTAGTAAAACGCAAAATCCATGAAAATCCTACGAAATGGCTAAGGGATATCCAAGGTAAGCCTGCCATGACAACATCAGCAGCACACATCCCAAGGGTCTGGACCTGGGAGAGCGTGCTGCTTGCAGTTCCCTGCGGCCTGATTTTTGCATGCTGCCTCTGTGAACGATGCCTGCAGGTCTTGCGACTGGCTCTCTCGGAGCTGAAGACAGGCGATGAAGGACATGCATTGAACGATTCTGACCCTGCCAGCTCTGACTCTGGAACAGATACATCAGAATTCATGGCATTCCTTTTTGGAAAGCAATCTGTGGCATCAACAGAACTGGACTGGGATGAAATCGGTCGGCAAGTGCGAAGGGAAGCTCGGCTCATGCTTGCGGTCGCAGTGCTGCCGTTGGTGTCTGCTCCATGGACCAGTTGCCTCAGTGGATCACCAACATGGCTCTACATTTCGTACCTTCCCTTCCTCCTACGTTCGAAGATGGTCGAGTACAAGATCATCAGGAAGTTGGGAATCCAGTGGCGGCCAGCGCTGCTCTTTGAGTATGCCATTGGGGTGCTGGAACACCTGGACTGGTTCACAGATGGCGCATTTCCAGTGCAAGCTTACATGTGCGAGCCAGGTATCACAGACACATGGGCAGCGGCATTTGACCAGTCTTGGGGCTGGGTTTGGGCCCCCATCATCCGCCTGCTTCACTTCTTTGGTGTAGCCCTCCTGGTGTTGATTCTGTCTTTTGCAGCGCAGCAAAGTGCTCTGGTGCCGTTTTGCTACTGCGACAACGATTTGCCCGACTTTACCATCTGGGATCAGCGTCACATCGACAAGCAGAAGGAGTTTCCCGTGGAATGCCGATGGCCCACCACGCTGATCAAGGAAAGAAACCAGGCATCTCGAGCCGCCTTGTCAGCAGATACGGCCTGTTTCGCTGCTGTGGCAATGCTGTTTGATCAGAGAAAAGATGCTGCAGGGGACAAATGTTGGGACATGAGTCGGCCAACTTTCAAGGCTGAGGACACCTTTCAGGTCACTTGTGGAAGGTTGAGAATCAGGCCCTTTTCCACGGTCCTGTTCAAAGTTGTGCTGGAGAACCTAGCACAGCTCTATTTGCAGGTGAGCTTTTATGCCATCATGTTCCATGATCTTAATCCTCTTGCACGCTTCAAGCTGCTTGTCAGTATCAGTGCTGGCCTTCTATCAGCTTTAAAGAGGCTAATCGATGTGGCATCGACACTGCAACAGAATGGTTTGCATGTATGTTTTGGCTGGTTGTTGTATGTCCTGCCGGGCATGATCGTTCTTGTTTGGGTCAGTCTGAAGCTCTACTTTGCTCACACATGCCCGCATCATCAGTGGAACTTCTCTACTGGGTGCGTTGGCTGAAAACCGTTGGCCAATTGCTGAAATCGTACAAGAAAAGGATCGAGTTGACGGAGATGCAAACAGTATACCCCAGATATCCCCGAATATCTTAGATTCATGTTGGTTATGTCCTCATATTGCTAATAACTTCGTACGTTTTTTGGGGGGCGAAAAAGCGCCGAATATATGTACGATTATATAATATTAATATTATATATGATATTTGGTGTATATATATATATACATATATATATTTATATATATGCATATATACAATATTATACCATATTATTCCATATACAATATACATATCAATTTGAATACATGGACCTACATCTTCCGGTTTCCTGTCAGAAAGGTGAACAACCCAAAAATCATGTGTGGTAAATTCACCCAATGGTGACAAAGTCAAAGGTATTTGGAAGGCTGTTATGATGCATTCTCATCCAGCTGTTTTCTTTAAATACAACATCCTGGTTTTCATTTAACCTATGGTCATGCTGACAGCCACTTCTCAGATTTGCCGCCCAACATGACGCAGAAGGACGTCAATACCTTTCCATTGCAGCTTGGAGGAATCATCCCAGGCAGAAAGTGATCCACGTCCACGTGGATAATTTTCCTGGGGAATAAGTCCCCAAATTGGGGTGATCCCATTGAATATATGTTGGGTTGCCACTCCCCTCACTGAGAGCTTTGTGAATGTTGTATTTAACTAGATCTTCCCAGATAAGCGATGTGTCGCCAAGCGTGGCAAGCACGTCAAAATACTGGGATGCAACATCTAAGAAAAAAGACTTCACTGTACATGGTGGTTGCTAAGGGAAATAATCTCTCATTTGGGAATGGTCTCAATCTGCCCAGAATATTCCGGAATGGATCCCATAAATCCCCAGTGTATCCGCATTAAATCCACTATTGTTCATGCTCAAATCATGGTTAAATCCCTACAATGTGGGTAAAGCAATCATAAACCACCCATGACTGGGAATGGTTTATATCACCTACTCTCTGGTGATGACTGGGGGATGGTTGATGACATTGTTTACCCACATGATTGTGCATGTCTCCGTGCATGGTCTAGGTGTTTGGTGCGTTTTCCTCATGGCGCCGTGGGCAGCGGAAACGCCTTGGACTTTTCCAAAGAGCTGAGTCTGGCGGCGGCTCGGAGATTTCCGATGGATTTTTGGGGCGAAAAACTTCGGGGGTTCAAAATGGTAGGGACCATAGGGAATATGGAATTACTATGAATGTGGATGATGAAGGATATTTCTTGGGAATATGGATTTATTCATGAATCCGGATGATGAATGGTAATCATTGGGTATGGAATTACTGAGTAATTCCATCTCGATGATGCAGTGAGACATCGTTGTTTTTGTTTCCCACGAATGTGACATGGACGCATTGTTTTAAAGAATCGGCAGTTCAAGCCTTGGTAGTTTTCCCTGGCCGAGCGAACGATGGCGGTTTGCTCACAACGGGCGACGGGCAAACCAGCGTTGAAAAGATTATGGTTTACCTTTGAACCTTAGCCATGACTACCATTATAGGGTGTTTAATTTTACACGTGTATCCATTTCATGCGGGGTTTAATCAACAAATGTGTGGGATTTGAACATCAAAATATTGGTATGTGGCTCGATTCGTGTCAAGTCTAATTTCAAGATACACCAAGTCGTGCTCATGGCGGTCACGGCATTTTGTTGGACTAGAAGATGGCCTTTGGCCACTGTTAGTGGCAAGAAGACTTGGGAGCTGCGCAGCATGCCTTGCATAGCGCCAAAGACAAGCCCCACTGGGAAGCCCTTGCTTGGTGAGATGACGATCACAGGCGTTGCTGGCGGAGTTTTAAACCACATGCAAAGACCACAGGAAGCGGCTCGAATGATACGTGCTTCTTGCTTTATTTCACTAAGTTACATGGGATTTGTATTAAATTTGTATGGTGGGTTTATCTACGGTTGAGTGGATTCATGACATTGCATATCTTCCATTTCCTGGGCAGACCTTGGGCGGATGCTTTAGTGGTTTATGTTCTTTGCCGCGGATATGCACCGTCCAGCTTTTAAACAAACCTGCGGGGGTGTCTAAGATGTGCCTTTCTCTGGGATGTTTAGACTATTCTCAAAGGTTAATACCTGACAGTTATGGCCATTTATTAGTCATAACTGGTTATTTCCATGGGATTATACATTCTATGCATGGGGTTAGTTCAGTACTTATAACATCTTATAACTGGTATAACTCGGGCCATAACTGTATGAATCACATGTTTCATGGGTGAATCATGTCCTTCATCGATCATCCTTCATTTTATGCCCCAATCCTGACCTCAACACCGCCCGGTCCAGGCCCAGGTGTCATTCATCCGGCCCAAAAACTGAGGCCAACCCCTTCTGGTGGTTTTCCAAAGATCCAAAATCAGAATCCATGAATGATATGAATGGGAAATCCAAAAAAAACAATTGATCATCATTGATCCATTGCTCATTTCTATGTGGTTCTTTCCCAAAAAATAGGGGTGATCTCACTTGATGCTTCCCAGTCACATGGTGTGTGGGGCCCTCGGATGACTATGGTGTATGGATGTGTATGGTTATATCGAACAGGCGCCTGTGATGGGTGAAAATCAACCAACCAATGTCATCATTATGCCAATGCAATCGTACAAGGTAGTACCCCATCCCCCCTCCCTCCATTATGCCAAAAGTAACTTGGGTTTTTTCCACATTGTTAGGATAGTAGATATATCATGATATATCTATAGTTACTGGGATACTATTTCTAATATTTCTACCTCATAGTCATTAGAAACTTGGTTATACACAAAACTGGTTGGTGGTTTGGAACATGATTTTTTTGACTTTCCATATATTGGAAATTTCATGATCCCAACTGACTTTCATATTTTTCAGAGGGGGTAGGTATACCACCAACCAGATAATCTGGGTAAAATCCACCAACATATATAAACCCATATTTTCCACATTGTCATCATATGAAAACCCCAGTATTGTTATTGTCATATGGAAAACCATTGTTAGGTCCAATAAAAGTTTATACAGTACATCACCCATCATTTCGTTCGCACGTGCAAACTGACTTCGTACGAGCGCCTGGAGCGGCGTCTGGGCGCCGACCGAGGATTTTGGCCTCATGGCTTCGTTGACCTACGAGCACCTTGGTCGCGAGAGCTCCGATGGTATCCATGGAGAGTGCCTCGATACGGGGATGTGTTTGGTCGGTGGTTTCAAACATTGGTTTAGTATGGGGTATAATGATGGTTAATCATGGTTAATCATGTCTAATAATGGTTAATAATCACTGGTTTGGAACATTTTTATTTTCCATGTCATATTATATATGGGATGTCATCCGAAACCATTGACGAAGTCCATCATTTTTCAAGATGGTTAAAACGCACCACCAAGCAGTATGGATTGATTGATAAATTGGACTTCCGGAAATCAATTACCCCATTTGTGTGGTTCCAGTTTGAACTACAAGCAAAGTTCGGGATGCCTGATTTTGAAACTGATGATATGGGACATATGGGACATATGGGACATATGGGACATATGGGACATATGGGACATATGGGACATATGGGACATATGGGACATATGGGACATTGAGATTCATGCGATTGAACCTTCCAGGCTTGCAAATTTGGCCCCCCAAGCAGGGTGCTTCAGGATCAGGACACAGGTCAGCAGAGATGATGAGAGTTCCACCTTGGGAAGCAGTCAGCATCGCTGGGGCCCTGCAGTCTCTCAGCATTTTTTGGTTGTACAAGGTGGTGCCCCCAAGATAGCTAAGTTGGTGCCAATAAGTCTAATAACTATGGTAACTAGGACTTATGGTAGATATATCATGGTATATCTATAGTTAATGGGATTATAACCAACAAACATCACTGCGGGGGCACCACCTTGTAGAATTTTCAATTGAAACTGCCATGAAAGGAGCGCCCACCATTTGTGGACCAAGCATGACAATGGGTCTAGAAAACTCTGCATCATATTCCTGAGCTCAAATTGCCCTCTGCTATGGGTTTCTCTGAAACTAGACGCCATGTTCATCCAGTTTCCCTATCAAAAGAACATTTTTGGGTCTATACCTAATTTTCAGATTAAAATGTTGCCACAATTCGTTGTTTCTTTCAAATGTGAATTTCAACATCCCGATTTTGTTGGGATCCTCATCCATTGTGGGAATCCAACTGCCTTTTTGTGCAGTTGGAGAAAATGAGTGTTGTACACATTGGATTCTAACCCTCAATAAGTTGGGATCATGATATCACTATATAACTTATTAGTAGATTTTCACCAATGACTTAGTAGAATTTCACTCTGTATAACTTATTCAAGTAGAATTTCAGGCCTAAGCACTAGAAAAAGCGTAAGCAGAATTTCATGGAGAGCACACTCCACGAGGCCTCCCTCCCGTGTGGAAGAAGGATGTGCGCACTACTTCCCCAACTGGCACGTTGAACAGAAACCTCCCAGTGCCTGGGCTGCCTTGGCAGTTGACGGAGGTCGGTTGCCTGGCAATTGGAAGATTTTTTGGGACGTGATTGTTGTTGTGTGTTTTTAAGGCAGGGTCGAATAGAATAGCTGGGCCCAGCATCCAACAAGCTATGGCAGCACCAGAAAAGGAGGGGTGGATCTCAGGACCCCAGAAATTGCCTTCGAAACCATCCTCTATGTTTTGTAATACTAGATATGTCTGCATTAATGGGAACATCAATCTTGGAAATGTCAAACCTCGTCTACAGTTTACATGAAACCATGTTTGATGTCTTCCAGTAACCTGCTTGGGATTAGTATGATGGTTTTTTGGTATTTTTGAAAGTTGGTATCATCATTTGGGTTTTATGATCAAGTTCAGCTGTGGCGGAAGTGATTCCAGAAGCCTCAAAGTGCACAGTAGTCTCTAACTGAGCTATTAACAATACCATCGTTGATTAGTTACCAGTAGTACCCGCACGAGGCGGGGCGGAAGTTGCCTTAAAGATATATATAAGACCTTTCTCATCTATAGAACTTGCATGCGCCGTGCGCCAGCCAAGCCCGTGCGTGCGTGCACTCTGCGAAACTGATGTCGTGTTTCACATGTCACACTTGAAGCCCCACGTCACACTTCACACTTGACAGTCTTCACACTTCACACTGCACCCTTCGCAGTCAACACTTCACACTCCACACTTCCCCAATCCACACTTCACACTTCACTGCACGCTTCCCACTGCACACTCCACACTTCACACTTCACACTCCACACTTCACACTTCACACTCCACACTTCACATAAAACTCACACTCCACACTTCACACTTCACACTCCACACTTCACACTTCACACTCCACACTTCACACTGCACTCTTCACGCCCCACACTTCACACTGCACTCTTCACACTCCACACTTCATCTCATCTCTTCTCCTTAGGTCACTAAGCTTGCATGAATCTTTTCAGTACTATATAAGGAACTTGCATGCGGCCGTTGCGCAGCCGGCCCGTGGCGTGCGTGCTTTGTGCGAAAGCTGTTGCAGGGTTGTTGTCCAAGAACATGCCTGCGGCGACCGGTTTAGAATGCAAACACTTTCTCACCACTCACAGTGCACCAAAATTGAGAAAATCTGCTGACAAATCATTTTCGCAGCCTTGATGCAGCCATTCCAATACGATTTACGATCTTCAGCTGCAAAAGACAATAGTATTACGCATGCAGCCGCTGCACCAAGCAACCTTGACGCAGCCACTACAATGCGATCTGCAGAGACTGAGTTGCAAAGCACGATAGAACTACGTGCAATGGCGTCGGAAATTGCAGCTCCAAAAACCGGATCTCGACGCCAAAGCGACAAAAAGATGATTTTGAAGCACTTTTTCAAGGGAATTTTAAAAGGAAAATTATTAGCGCCAAAATTGAGAAAATCTGCTGACAATTCACTTTCGCAGCCTTGATGCAGCCGTTCCAATACGATTTACGATCTTCAGCTGCAAAAGACAATAGTATTACGCATGCAGCCGCTGCACCAAGCAACCTTGACGCAGCCACTACAATGCGATCTGCAGAGACTGAGTTGCAAAACACAATAGAACTACGTGCACTGGCGTCGGAAATTGCAGCTCCAAAACCGGATCTCGACGCCAAAGCGACAAAAAGACGATTTTGAAGCATTTTTTAAAAGGAATTTTAAAAGGAAAATTATTAGCACCAAAATTGAGAAAATCTGCTGACAATTCACTTTCGCAGCCTTGATGCTGCCATTCCAATACGATTTACGATCTTCAGCTGCAAAAGACAATAGTATTACGCATGCAGCCACAGCACCGAGCAACCTTGACGCAGCCACTACAATTGCAGTATGAGAGATAGTGCAAAACACAATAGAACTTACGTTGCAACTTGGCGTCGGAGGAAATTGCAGCTCCCACAACCGGATTCTCGACCACAGCGACAACAAGGACGATTTTGAAGCATTTTTTAAAAGGGAATTTAAAAGGAATTTTAAAAGGAAAATTATTAGCACCAAAATTGAGAAAATCTGCTGACAATTCACTTTCGCAGCCTTGATGCTGCCATTCCAATACGATTTACGATCTTCAGCTGCAAAAGACAATAGTATTACGCATGCAGCCACAGCACCGAGCAACCTTGACGCAGCCACTACAATGCGTTTCGCAGCATCCCGTAGCAAACCTGCACCTATCTACGGACGTGGCAACATCAAATGACGACAATGAAGCAGCCATTCCATTGCAATCTGCAACTAGAGATTCAAGAACCGCATGGAACTACGCACACAGACACAACCACTCGTTGCAAAACACATAGGAGGAACAATTCGCGCACAAAACGACCGCAGCCGCACCCGCTGCACAGACGAGGTACCTTTCATCGTCGCCTGCAGCCACTTTACACGGAAAAACGCAAGGTTTCGTGCTCCGGCTTCCTCCCCAAAACAGAGCCCTTGCAACATCATGCAGCCATTCCAATGCGATCTGCAAGCACAGATTCCAAAACACCCTATAACTACGCACACACAAGCACACCGAAAGCAGCTTCAAGCCACCGTTACACTGCGGCAAAAAAAAAACGACAAACCGACCGCAGCCGCACCCGTCGCACACACGAGGTACCTTTCATCGTCGCCTGCAGCCACTTTACACGGAAAAACACAAGGTTTCGTGCTCCGGCTTCCTCCCCAAAACAGAGCCCTTGCAACACCATGCAGCCATTCCAATGCGATCTGCAAGCACAGATTCCAAAACACCCTATAACTACGCACACACAAGCACACCCAAAGCAGCTTGAAGCCACCGTTACACTGCGGCAAAAAGAAAACGATAAACCGACCGCAGCCGCACCCGCCGGACAGACGAGGTACCTTTCATCGTCGCCTGCAGCCACTTTACACGGAAAAACACAAGGTTTCGTGCTCCGGCTTCCTCCCCAAAACAGAGCCCTTGCAACATCATGCACCACTCCCCTTCATGGTTGCCAGTTCCCTTCCTCACCACTCCCCTTCATCATCACTTCTCTTCCTCTCCACTTCCCTTCGTCACCGCTTCCCTTCCTCACCACTTCCCTTCGTCACCACTCCCCTTCATCATCACTTCCCTTCTTCACCGCTTCCCTTCGTCACCACTTCCCTTCCTCACCACTTCCCTTCGTCACCACTCCCCTTCATCATCACTTCCCTTCTTCACCACTTCCCTTCGTCACCACTTTCCTTCTCCACCACTTCCCTTCCTCGCCACGTCCCTTCGTCACCACTCCCCTTCATCATCACTTCCCTTCTTCACCGCTTCCCTTCGTCACCACTTCCCTTCCTCACCACTTCCCTTCCTCACCACTTCCCATCGTAACCACATCCCTTCGTCACCACCCTGTGTCATAGCTTCTTATTCTTTTGTTATGTATTGTCATGTGATCTACCACCCTTCATCATAGTCAATTTCATCGCTTCTTATTCTTTTGTTATGTATTGTTAGATTATGTTTTGTTATGTGATCTACCACTCTTCATCATAGTCAATTTCATCGCTTCTTATTCTTATGTATTGTTAGATTATGTTTTGTTATGTGATCTACCACCCTTCATCATAGTCAATTTCATAGCTTCTTATTCTTTTGTTATGTATTGTTAGATTATGTAATGTTTTGTGATCTACCACCCTTCATCATAGTCAACTTCATCGCTTCTTATTCTTTTGCTATGTATTGTTAGATTATGTATTGTTACATGATGTACCACCCTTCATCAGAGTCAATTTCATCGCTTCTTATTCTTTTGTTATGTATTGTTAGATTATGTATTGTTACATGATCTACCACCCTTCATCATAGTCAATTTCATAGCTTCTTATTCTTTTGTTATGCATTGTTAGTTTATGTATTGTTGGATCACGTACCACCCTTCATCATAGTCAATTTCATCAAGTAAAAGTCATTCGTAACTCGGAAGTATTGCTTCCCAACTTCCTTTGATTATTCGGAATTATACGACCTGGTTTGATGGGGGTTTGGAGATGTTTGGAGAACCCATAGTAGGGAAACCTATCAACCAGCTAGTATAATGAGAGGGGTTAGTGGTGTTTTGAATGGCTCAACTCACTCAAGTACAGGCTTGACTGGATTCTTACAGCACCCTTAGGTATGTTGGTAACCAGTAAACATCTTTGAATATGGTTTATATAACCCGTTACATCCCATATGTATACCCTGATATATCCTCCAATTTCCTCCAATACAATATATATATATATCGTTCACCAGGTTTTAACCAACATTTCTGCGGTTTAAACCGACATTTCTACTGAAGTCCCAGCAATGTCGTCCCCTATGGGGCCCATCATCCAGATGTGAACGATTCCGATTGGGTTCGCTTCGTGATGTTTACCTCGGACAACAACAGCAGCTTGGCTACAGGAAAGAAGCCCCCAAGTTATGGAAGATGTCTTTATATTCACCCATCAAGCTGTAATTTAATCTGCATGAAATACACCTGAATATATATTTATATATATATTTATATATATATATATACATAGTTATGTATGTATATATATATATCTCTATCTATCTATCATGTTTGCCAACGGAAAGCGATTGTTCAGATGCCCCTTCTTGCATCTTGGGCTTTAAGTTTGATTACCCTATGTTCATTGGTTTGCCGGTATTTCAATTGTCAAATACAAAATCTTGTCAGTTAAACTTAAATTTCACTGAAGTTTCTGGATTATGTCCCCATGTTTGATGGTTAACAGGTTAACGCTGTTAACACATGTTACCCCACCACCCAAAATAAATGATGATCGATGATCCATGATCAATCCACATTTTTGCTGCAGGGTGGTGCCCTCCCACGTCGAAGTTTGTTGATAACCCCATTCACTAGATAAATAAATAGATAGATAGATAGCGATGAGATAGAGGTAGAGGTAGAGAAAGAGATAGAGATAGAGATATAGATAGATAGATGGATGGATGGATAGA